CGGTAATGTGCATGAATTTTTCTTATTTTAAAAAATGGGGTCTAATGCAGAGGTAATCAAGTTGTAAGATCAGTGCTTGCCATGATGCATATGGAATTTGTTATTATACGCATCTTGGTTTTCCAGTAAGACCTGCGCATCGAAAAAACAATGGGCAGTAGTCTCTCCACTGGTCTGCCAGTGAGAAAATGTGCTTTTGTTAAATGCCTTACAATTTGAATACGAAAAATCGGAGTCGAGCAATTTTGGCCTGGTGAAGGATTGAGCTCCCGAAAATGACACTTTCTCCGTCCTGCACTGGTGGAGGAGAGCGCAGACACTTTCCTCAGGCACTATGCAACGATCGCCTCCTTCGAAAAATGCATACGCCCTTCCGCAATTATGACGACCAACTCCCTTCCTTTAGCAGTTCAGCATTACGCAAGCACTTGCCAACACAATTCCACAATTCACCCATTTTATCCATACCGCAATCTTTTGCACTGAAATATGTAAATATCTCCAAGTTTTTAAAAGGACTAAGTTGATTCTTACACGGAGCCGTCTTCGTTTACAATTGTCTAAGCTTCTCATACTGTAATTTTTGTCTCTTCGAGGGCGGTTGAACAAAGACTACACCAAATCCTTGGATAAAATTCAGACATCTCTTGCCCTTAGGACAACACACGCAAGATGGTAGGAAGACACAAGTGGATAGTTAAACTGCATTGGATAAAATGAGACAGGATCTCAATTCTGGAGGAAATCACCACACCAAGCAGGTATGCAAAATCACAAATATTAACAGGCAATAGAAGGGGAGGCAACCCACATAGTTATTAGGAGAGTAACCAGGTACCGCAAAGGTGTACATGAGGTAGTGGCCACCGTTCTCGGCAGAAGGGGTGCACTCCGCAGTGTCAGGGTCATGGGGCGCACCCCAGGAGTGACCCAATTCGTGTGCAGTCACCAATTCCGCCACACTGCTAAGCACTTGTACGCCCTCCGAATCGCAGTACGTTGTGAAACCCGTGTTAGGTGTCAGGACTATGGAGCTCGGGGACTCGCCCTCCGGACCCGCCTCCACGTAGTCTGTCAACGAGGAGGAGGTAAAAGAAAACTCACAGCCGTCTAGTCCATGATGGATACACTACTCGGGGCAAAAATTACGCATTTGTACGCATGGGTGTACTACATTTTTCAGTCCCATAACTACTAGTTTTGCCTCCTTTCTCGTTAACTGCATCCACAGATCCGTACAGTCTGATGTTAACGCACTGCTTGCAATGCCTTTAAAGAGCACAGATAATTCTAAATTGAAGGATATTCCAAATAGGCATTTCGTTTGATAAAAGGAGAAATGTGGAAAGTAAACAATTTCTCTTCATTTTCATTGAGTTCCATTCCATTTTTTGAGAATAGACTTTGCAGTTTGCAAGTATCCACTAAATGTCACGGCCTGGTCATTTTGGAAACATGCTTTTCACGTGTCTTATCATTAAGCATGAGTGCTTTTTATCCCCTTCCTTGAATCTATATGCACCTATAGTCGAAATGGAATTCCGTATAGCAGCTAGTATATGAACCATTAAAACCAGTATTAATCACATGAGCTCCACCAAGAGCTCATGAGTTCATGAATCATGTATCCATGTGTTCAGCACTGAGATAGTGTATCATAAATTCGCATAGCAAACATATTAAAAACGTAAATTTTCCCACTTATTCCGCTCCCATTTCTAACCACGAGAGCTATTAAGCCGAAGTTACTATAGCAACACCAGAAAATGAATTCAAGCATTGATGTTAGCCACTTGCGTTCACCTTGAGTAGCGGAAA